CAAAGAGAACACCTAACCCACCTCAGCAGGAGGAGCCACCACTCAGGAACTCTTCAGGGGAAGTGGTGCCCTCAGGAGATAGTTAAATTTCAGCAACAGCTTGGGGACAGTTATATTTGGGAAAAAAAGTTAGTGATAAAGGGAGTTTTGCAATGACTGATAGGGAGCCCCAGAGGCAAAGGGGAAGGGATTCATGATCACACATGAGTGCAAATTGGGGTCAGACAAGAGAGTTGATAGGTAGAAAAGCTCCAAACAAAAACTACGGGGGGGGGGGGGGGGGGGGGGGGACCCAGAAATGTCGGAAAGCAGGCCACCATATTCTTTGAAGACATCACCGTAACACTAGAAGATAAAGCTTTGTGAAGTTAGAAAAGTGTTCCTGAGCTCAAAGATTTTTTTAATCTTTGGCTGAAAGATTTTTTTTGCTCTAAGATTTTTTAATGAATTTCAAATAAAAATGAGTCACCGATAAGTAACAAGGACAATTCCACACAAAGTTATTATAAAAGTATCAAGGCCAATGCCAGAGTTATTCCGGAAAAAAAGGATACGCAGAATAACATCCCTACATAATGAAAGCATGCCAGGAAGATGTGCCCGCAAACTGTAGCGAGCCATTTCAGGATGAGCTGAGGACCTGACAAAAATGACACAAGACATAAAAGAACCAGAGAACAGCTCAAAATGAGATGACCTAATGCAGGAGAGAACTCAAAGGAAAAGACTCATTCTGGACATAAAAGAGTGAATAAAAAAAAGATTGTCCCTTAAAAAAAAAAAGGTAAAAAAGAAGAAAATTTTAAAACTCAGAAACAAATAAGGAGACAAAAAGAATTTAAGAGAAGGTAACAGTACTGAAGACAAAGAAGAGTAATACACAGATGATAAGGAACTCTGAAGAAAACCAAAGCCAAGTAACAGAACAGCAGAAGCAAGCACTCCCCAAAAAACTTTCCTGACATAAAAAATGTGAAACCATATTTTGAAGCATGATTTATATCAGGGAATATCAACTCAACATGACCAATATGATTTTTACCATTACTAAAGAATTAGGGAAACTGGGGTCAGAAAGGGGAGCTACAGAACTGTACAGAGAGGAATTATAGTCCAGGACCTGAAAGAACTGTCAGTATTGGGTTTCTCAATACATAAGAGCTAAAACGCATAATGAGATTAGACCTGATAACCTCAGGTCACAGCGGGTGGAAAGAATGCTGGTACAGGAGGAGAGAGAGGAGCAGCTGCTTAAAGAGAAAGAAGAATCTGGCTGGTATCAGACTTACCTCTGCACAAGAGACTTGAAAAGATAGTGGCATGAAGTTACTATAAGCTATATAGGAGAAAAAGAAGGTTATAGGGCCTCCCTGGTGGCTCAGGGGTTAAAACGCAGCCTCTGCAGCACGAATTCGATCCCGCCAGCCAGGGAGAAACCCACATGGCGGGACAGACCACTCCTGTCTCACCCGCTGCTCCCCTCAGCAGTGTATTCAGTCAGTCTGTCTGTTCTGTTCCCCACTCTGTCTCTGGTGAATCCTCTCACACCCCACATCTCTGGCCTGTATCCCAATTCTTGTATAAAAATAAATAAATCTTTTAAAAAAAAAAAAGGTTAGGACCCAAGAATACTATATTTAGCCAAGGTATCACTCACTGAGCAAGATATAAGAAAGGCATCTTCACTCAAGCAAGGATTCAGAATTATATCACATACACTCTAAGGAAATGGCCTGAAAATTTTATCAAGTGCTTTTTTGCATCCATTAAGATAACTATGGGTTTCTTTTTTCCAGTTTCCACCACTCGCAGAATTGCAGCTGGCAGTACAGATATGGTCAAATGCAAGAAGGACATCCTGTATGACCAGTCCCAGAAATTACTTCAAGAAACTGAGATTATCTAAAGAATGCATATTTTCCAGTAAGCACAAGAAGAAGGACCTCAAAAAGATTCAGGTGAATGTTTCCAAGCAATTAGCACCTGCACAGAGGTCAACAAGGTGCATTAATACCAAAAGAAATCAAATACAAGATCTTAAGATGTGCCAGTCCTAAGTCGGACAGGCTCACCCATATCACCCACCCCAGTTGATGGAATGACGCTTATTTCCATACTGTCAAAGGTAACCAGGCTTCTGTAACCAAAGGCCAGTAATGAGGCCAAGGTTAAAGTCAAGTTCCAGGCCCCACAAAGTTCCCTAAAGACTCCAGAAGAGCACTTCTGTCTATCGAATTTGAGGATAAAAGAATTGTATACAATGTGGACTACTGCCCACAGAGACAGTCATCTCCCTAAGCAATTCTGTACTAATGCAAGGTCCTCCAACTCACCCCAAAAGAGAGATAATGACATAGGTTTTATCTTGTAATTTGTCAATATAATAAATTATGTTAACATTTAACTGTGCTTGCCTTCCTGGAATAACCTGCTTGATCATGATATATTGTCTTTTAAATACACTGCTGGATGTATTTCACTAATATTTTATTTAGAATATTTGCTTCACTAGTCATGGCTTAGAGAGGACTAATGTTTATAATAGCAGAGAGAGAGAGAGAGAGAGAGAGAGAAGGAGGAAGTGAGGGAGGGAGGGGAAAGAAGAAAGCAATCTTAATATCCATCAGTTGAGGAATGACAGCTTAAATGTGGTGTCATATGCCATGGGATGTGCTATTTCACTTTTTAAAATTAGAGATGCATTTACTCAACTGCAGAGATAGCCATGATACACTCTTAAATAAATAAAGCAAGTTACCAAAAGACTGCATTTGTGTGTGTAACTGTTTATATTTTTGAGCAAAGAAAAAGGTGCTAAAAAATACTCAGTGTTAGTTAATGTTAGCTATCAAGGAGTGAAGGTGGCAGAGACCTGAGAGAAAAAAAATTAATTTTTTTTCCACTGCTGGTTTGTTTATTTTAGTGGTTGCAAACAGAATGCTTACTTTTGTGACATTTTTTAAAGAGCTGGGAAACACCAGTTATCAATATTATAAGTAGTGACAATTAACATCTGTAGACAACTAATAAATGACTGTTCTTAACACACCCACAGACAAAAACAGAATTAAATGACCTGAAGCAGGCAAAGGACTCATTATGAAGTTTATTTATTGAGAAATGCAAGACAATCCAATCTCAACCAAAGTTGCTTCTAAGAGGCCCTGCCTAAGTACACTGTGCAAGATGTCTCTAGGATGAATTAGTTTCTATTATATAATTAAGACAAACTTAGTTCATATATATTATGACAACCAAGGATAAAATTAAGAGAAAGTGATGCAAGTTCATTTAAATGTTTGGACGATTCACAAGTTAGCAGAAATGGGCAAATGTTACAGAAATAATTAAAACTTAAGGGAAAAAATGAGACTTTCAATAGTTAACTATACCACAGAAAGAAGGGCAGGTGTTTGTTCTAGTATACCATTTTGCACTAAAAAGAGACAAGTCCTTTTTTATTAAGTAGAGATCAACAAACCCAAAAAACAAACAAAAAATCCCAACCATTATGGCTGATAGTCACATACAAATTTTTTTTTAAACGAAACTATGATAAAAGCGATCGACCTGGGGGTGAAGGGGTGCTGGTGATAAAGTGATCACATACAGAAAGTTCCAGTTATTCACAAAAACAAGAGATGTCTATAAACGTTGAAAACATTTACATGATCAAATTGAAAAAAAAAATTGTCAAAGGGCTCATTGTCTTTAAACAAATGCTGTGGTCTGCTACTTTATAGAGGAGATTAAAAATTAATTTTTTGTCAAGCTTGTGGTGCTTAAAGGGAAACAGTCCAAAATGAAATGCATACTAGAGACTGCCCAGCAGCAGCTGTCCCCTAGGAGTTTTTATTTTTAAGTTTACAGTTATTCAATAACTTTTTTTTCAGCTCTCATCAAATCCTTCATATTTTAGGAAGTTTTGGGATACAGATAAAATATGTCAGTAGCCAAATTAATGTAAGTTTTAAAATGCCTTGCAAGGATGAGAAGAGGAGCAAGACAACAAGGAAAAGCTGGACAGACAACTCCAGTAAAAAATAATTGTGGGGGCCTCCCCGGTGGTACAGCGGTTGAGCGCTGGGTTGCAAAGCTGCCCACAGCCTCTGCAGCACCGGTTCAATCCCCCGGCCACCGGGTGAGGGTCCCACATGGCGCGTAGACCTCCCCTGCCGCCCGCTGCTCCCCTCAGCAGTGTACTTCGTCAGTCTGCCTGCTCTGCTCTCCCCTCTGACTCTGGTGAATTCTCTCACCCTCCCGTGCTTCTGACTGTACCCAGTGCTTGTATAAATCAATCAATAAATTTTTTTTAATAAATAAATAAATAATTGTGGGGAGAAGCAGGGTGAAGCACACATTGGGGAAAAAAACAGAAATCTGAGACAATGTCCAAAACTTAATTTTAAAAAATTACTATTTATTAGGTATGAGACATTATTCTAAAGATCTTCATCTATGTTATTTCATTTTACCATCACAAAAATCCTGCAAGACAGTTTTAGTCTCTGATAATTCATAAATGTCAGAAGAGTAATTCAAACCTGTTTTCTTGATTCAAAAACTCAGGAATTCAAGTTCTTCCTACTATACAATAATGAATCTCATCACCGCAAAATTTTAAAAACTTCTTACAAATTAACAACAATATTGTCATCCCATCTGAAGAATGGATTCCAAAGTAATTCTTCCTCTTTAAACCTAAGGAGGAAAAGCTAAAATTCTCCAATGTTAGAGCAGGATTTGAGTGTAGTGACTCTGAGTCCACGTGTCTGCTAAAAATAATTACCGTCATTCACCCTAATTCACAACTGTAGGGAGCCCAACAGGATTCCTGGAATTGAACAGAAATACAACCCTAGAGTACAACAAATACCATCAAACTTTCATAGTCTGACTAGCTTTTCTGCCTTATCAAATTTCAGCAACAAGAGCTAGAAGTTGAGGGAGTCCACAATTAGGAACAAAGAGTTAAGGACAGTTAGGTGGAGGAAAGTTACCACTGACATCTGCAGCAGATTCTCCAGGTCTAAGTGATTAAATATCTACATGCCCGCGTTCATTTCCAAGTTTAATAACTAGTCCAGTTATAAGGCTGGATCCATAAGTAGGAAGGAGGATTCCATGGCAGTAAAAACTTGGTGCTACATTTCTTCATGCTGTCAATCTCTAGAATCAATGTGGCGTCACTATGGTAAGGCAAGCACAGGATCACAATCAGGAACTAGCATGGCTGCCTGGTCCAGATACCTACTAGAAATAACAAAAGTTTTGCAACATTATCGTTTACATATTATGAGTGAATTTTACATCTAAAAAACTTGCTGATATTTATAGAAAAATGGATAAATCACTGTTTTCCTTTTCATAATACCTTTGCCACCTAAAGAAAAAAGTAAAATGTATCAACACTGATCAGTGAATTTTAGGGGAGTGCCTGTATTTAATACATTATTTTTTAAAACTATTTTTTCCACAGGTAGAATATGTAGGGCACATAATTTTGAATTACAATTTTATTTTCTGTCTAAGAAAGAACGTAAAACAGTAACTTTCAACTGAAAGACTATAGCAGTAAAAAACTACTTATACATAGTAGGTTGTTGATATTTAGGTGAAAGATTTACTATGTTAATACACTGCTTAAAAATCCATCACTGTTGTTAACATAACTAACACAACTCAATCCATTTGTCTTACACATAACGTGTCTGTATAACAAACTGACATTATCAACACAGAAAGGGTTTTCTCAGATAACAACGATTTTTTTAAATGCAAAATAAAAACTGAGGAGAGTAAAACCTGAGCAAACTAAGAAAAATATCCTCTTATATGCTGTGCTGCAAAATCTCCACTTGGGATACCTCTTCTAAGAAAAAACAGAATCAAGTAACACATGTTGTCAGAAACCTCTTCAGAGTTAGACAGAATATAGGTGTCATAAGAAGGCAAAATAGAAACCTGCCAGAAAAATCAGTGCTAAGGCAAAGTGGCCAATCTTTTTCTTAGCAATTAGACAGAAGCAATTATGCCCTGCAGAGGCCTTCAGCAGACATAGTCGGTGTATCTCTAACTCATGACATTCAATAAACTCTTAATGGACACAGACTATATAGAATAGGTCAAGGACTGATAAACTTTTCTGTAAATGGCTAGGTAGTAAGTATTTAAGCTTTATGGGGCATCTGGTCTCCAACGTTATTACTCGGCTCTGCTGCTGTTCCCGCAAAATGGCCACAGCCAATAAGTAAATAAATGTGCATGGCTAGATTCCAATATAACTTGCCTCATAGACGTAAATTTGAATTTCCTATAATTTTTTTCCTATAATCTGCCGTTCAGTTTGCAGAGGAGTGAAGCAATGGCCCTGGAGCGGGCAGGGAAAGAGAGAGGGATCCGCTTCCTATAATTTTTGTCACAAAGCATTATTATTCTTCTGATATAGTTTCAAGCATTTAAAAATGTAAAAGTCATTGCAAATTTCAGGGCATACAAAAACAGACTTTGGGTTGGATTTTGCCCATAGGCTGTAGTTTGCAATGTAAATAAATGAGTAATATACAATGAATATAATTCAACTATGTTCATACAGAGAACCTTTTAATCTTCCTCCCCCACTCTAGGAAATATAAAAAAAATAAAATAAAATTTGGTTTATTTTCAGAATTAGCTTTAATTATATGCCAAGAGTTACTCTGAAAAATATTTTAGATGGTGTGTGTATGTATGTATATTTCTTTACACATACCTCCTGATACTTAGAATTTCCTCTAGTTCTACAATAAGAGTTGAGGTTCCAAAGGCATAATTCAGATTAACTGTCAACAATCTTCATTCAATAAGTAAATAATGAGCACCTATTACGCTATGTTGATGCCAAAAATTAATATGAAATGCCACACTGTCTGCTTTCAAGCTCAGATTAGTGATACTTATTAATATGACAACTCCTATAACGTTCATATTTAACAGATGCCATGGGAGCATAGATGGAGAATGGCATCCCAAGTCCACCCAAGAAAGTCAGAAAAACTTCCTTCGCTCAAAAGATACTATTTGGGCCAAGACATGAAGGCTGAGGAACAGTTTGCTCAGAGAACAAAAGAGAGGGAGGACTATTCAGGCAGAGAGAATTTCATATAAAAAGGCATGGAAAGAGAATATTACATATTAAAGAAACCACAAGTAGTTCAATATTGCTGAAGCATAACTTTAAAGAAGAATGTGGCAGGCAATCAGTCTACTGACCGGCAGGGATCAGATCATGAATGACCTTATATGGTTTGCTAAGGTTTCCATTTTACCCATTAAATGAGGAGGAGCCACTGCAAGATTTTGAAGAAAAGAGTGACATGATCAGATGACCATGTCAGAATGATCACTCTGGGAGCTAAGTGGAAGTACTTAGGAAAGAAAGGTACGTAACTTTGACATAAACAGTAAAGATGTCTGCTAGGCAACTGGGGGTTTTACCAAAAACACACCAAGGAGATTATCACAATGCAATCACACAGTTTGAATGAAAGACATCAGACTCTCGCAAGTATTAATAAAAAGAAAGGAGTTTGAGAGGTAGTGTATAACCGTACACTGAATAAAGCAGAAATTGATATTATGGGGAAGAAAAGGGTCAAAGGCGTGATTAAGACTAATACCAACTCAGTCAGGATTGCCTTCAACTGTTCAAGGGCAAGCAGAAGCCGAAAATGAACAAGATATATTTGTTATGGGTAGCCCATAAAAAATCTTACACTAATCTAAAAATACAGGTTTCAAATTATTGATAAAAATTAAAAAATAAATAAACTGTCATATAACAAAAGAAATTTGTTTCCAGAAACAATTAAGGTATTATAGTTACTTAGCGCTTTCTGGAATAAAGTCCCAACAAAAACCATTTTTTACTTATTGTATATGCAGCCTCAACCTGCTTTAGCCTTCTAAACTCAAGCCAAAATTTCCCAGTCTCCATGTAATATTGCTTTGAATCTTAAATGCCCAAGGTAAAAAGAGCCTCTGAGAGGAAGAAAAAGTACCATTGGGTGAGGAAACAGAACCATAACTCTTTAAGCTCTTCTTTTAACTTCCTTCCCTCTATGGATTTTTAAAGAATCATCAGGGATATGTACTCACATCACTGTACTCACATCACTGTATATCTCAACTCATTTTTCCGTAATCTTAAACAATTTTCATCTAATTGAAGTTATTACAAAACATGCTATTCAAATAAACCAAGTGATGGCTTTCATGGTATTATGACAAAGACTAAACTGTTTATACAGTATATACAGTGTCTCCCCCAAATAATAATAATAATTGATGACCACAGGTCCTCAAGTAGCTATCACAATTCATGGGAAAAAAATATCCAAGTAATTAAACTGACTTCCCCACTATTTTACAACAGTTGTTACCTTGATCAGAACAGTGCTAGAAACCAAACCATTTGCAACAACTTGTTCTAGCTCCTTAAAATAAAATCTGGGGACCAGTGAAAAATATTCCAGCTACTGGAATTGGTGATTCTGTGTAAGTATAATTCAATATAATTCAACACGAGCGCCCAATTAGTGTGTCTTAGAGGTTCTATGAGGATGAAATAGGACAAGCAGAGAATTTCGATGCATTCTTTTTTTTTTTTTTTTTTTTTCACATAAATCCACAGTATGGTTTATTTCCTTCCAGTCTTTTTTTCTGTGTGGATATTAGGTACACTATGATACACTAACATCATATACTACTGATGCATTTCTTTTGTGGATATTTTATGGATATCTACCTTCCACCTAGTCATTATCAAAATATTCCCTTTCTGGCTTGGTATACTCTTTTATATGCCTAAATTCTATTCCATTCAAAATAATGCACACAGAATTATTCAGAAAATACTGAAAGAGCAAAGGCATCTATGTAGGAGGGGTAGGGAAGGACAGCTAGCAGGGAACAGAGAAGGACCATTGATGGAAAAGGGCAACAATACCCTAATGTTTAGCAATGTTAGTAAAACATTCATGATAAAGATGCGAACACCAAATTAGGTTTTATAAATGAAGCACGTTAAAATGAACAATCAACCAATATAAATACAGAGCATGAGTTGAATCTATGACAGCTTATTAAATATCCAAAGGCAGACAAGCATACATCCTGAATTAGTCTTAGCTATAATCAGCAGATTGTATTGAATTCATTTAGCAACCAATGTATGTAACAATCAAGGATGCATTTGATTACATGAGAGAAGTATTTACAGAATAGCCAAAACACTTTGGCTAAAAGAAGGATTTGTCACAAACTTAAGAGACTATTCCATTTCTTAAACCAGTGAGAGGTGCATGAGTGTTGCCTGCATCCTTATTCTTCCTACTTTACATCTATTTATAGATATTACTTCATATATAATGAGTATCTGAAAAATGTTTAAGTATGAGAAAAATTCTCACAAACAGCTCTTCCAGTGCTGATGGAAAAAGAAATGTACATAAGCATCCAATTTATTTTGTAAATTACTTTTTAAATAATAAAATAGAGTAAAATACAGGTCATAGAAAGTGAGTAGGTAGGAAAAATAGACAATTTCTCCTTAATTTTCCTAAAGAAAATTAGCAGTAAAGTTTTATCGGTGCTGTTAAAGAGATAGCGCATACACACACACAGACACACACACACACACACACACACACCCGCTATGTATCTCTTTAAAAGCAGCAAACTTTTACTGTATACTATGTGAATACACATACACAAAAAAAAATTACCTGAACATTTACTTCTGCCATTGCCCCCCAAAACCAAACTCCATCATAAATATGTCCTTGACCACATATAAAATACTGATGCCCCTTCATCCATAACCCCAGAAATAAAATACAATAATAAAAGCCTGAGGAGAAGTGCTCACACTGCTAGTAAATGCATCTTCTGTGTATGTGGGGCTTAACATTTATGTGTCTTATACTTATTTAGGTTTATCCATCCCTGTAGTGAATGCTTTATGAGGGACACAGGCAGCACAGAGATGCGGGTCAACATTAATTTGCTTGCAGGGGGCAACGTGGTATTATACACTCCTGAACGGCAAAGTGTGGAGGCAGAATTCCTGAATTGAAACTCAGCTCCTCCACTTGCCAGCAAAATAATCCAGCAAATTATTTAATATCCCTGTGTTTCAATTTACCATCTGTAAAATGGAAATAAGAGTGCATACCCCATTAGGCACTGGAAGTGATTTAAACAGGGACAGAGGCCTGACACAGAGTAGGCCTGTAAGGGTGAGCTATTATCACTAGTACTGCACCATCTTCCTGGACATTCTTAGCAATTTGAGTTATTGACTAAAATTAGATACTATTAGAAATAGACATTAAATCTCATTAACAGTACACTTAAAGCCCTGCACCTCTGAAGCGAATATTTGTCTGATTAATAAATCCACCTAAGTGCACTAGTAAGAACATCCTGAGAGTGGTTCCCGGAGTGCAATTATCAATTTCTTCCCTTACACAAGGGGGCAGTGATAACAAGAAAAGAATGGGGCTCTGCAACACCTCTTCCTACAGACAGTAGGGGGTGGCAGTACATATGGCTTACAGTCAGAACAAAACAGGAAGACCCAACAGAACTGCTCTTTATTCTCCTCTGGCCCTCTCCTCTCTCTGCCTTAAGCCCCACCAGAGCCTCCAGGTGAGGAACACAACTAGAGGAAAGACTAAAACCCACAATCACCAAGGAAAATGCAGTTTTGTCTTTGAGGCAAATGATCCCTCACTGGTTGAATCTGGATGCAGGAGAAAGCCCATCAGTAAGAATTTTCAGATTATTTGCTAAATTGCTGACTGTTCTTATTATAAGAACACTTGGGCAAATAATTCAATTTCTCCACAAGGACTGTAATATAAAACACTAAAATCTCATCAACATTCAGTATATCCTAATGAACACATCCAGCATGCTGACATCCCTGCTTGTTTTGCAGCATCTATACTTCCTGTTGTATACATGTAAGTTAAATGAAATAGCTCACTGAGCTGTCTTTTGTTACTTCTGAAATTCCAGCTCTGTTCTGACAATCCTCTCAAAACACAGATGTTCTTCTTAAATGGAAGTCACAATGTTTTGCAGCATGTGGGCAATTTCGTATATATATATATATATATATAGAGAGAGAGAGAGAGAGAGAGAGAGAGACTGAGACTATTTTTAATATTTCATCTTTGTGCTCATATTCCTAAGATGATCTACCTGGGAAATGCTGTAAGGAATACTCCAATGACAGTATCCATATTATTGCTTTTCATGCCACATTTTACTGTATTCAATTTTTTCCCTATTTTGTCACTCCAACACCAAAAACATACACGAATATTTCACTACTGCCATTTACTGTAATTAACCATTGCAACAGCTTTTGACTCCAACCCCTCAGAATGCCAGAAAATTTATTCCTTTTGTTCACCATATTGTTTTGTTTTCCTCATTCCAGATATTTCCACCTGTGTAAAAATGAAGAAAGGCGCACATACGAAAAAATTCCCCTGTGCCTACTATGAGATCTTGAACTCACAATTATGGTCAAGATGGGATTTGGTGGGTTGGTTTTGTTTTTGTTTTTGGCTTTTGCTTTACCTGGAGGGGGGCAAAGGAGAAAAGTGAAAAACACCCC